CGATCCCAATACGAAGTTCGCGAACATCAGGGATATCCATCGGGCTCAAATCGAAGCGGGTGAAAAGGAGGTTATCACGGCTGAATCCAGCGACTCTGAATGCCCTAGTGAGGCTGGCAGCTGTATTGTAGTGGGTGTGGTTGAGGATCAATAGTTAATAGTAATGAGGAGGTTGGGTTGTGATCCCATCGTTTTTGTGGTGCCAGAAACAGGGGGTGCCAGGAAGTGGGTATGTTGACTTAATCGCAGAGCATCGTAGTCCGAACGTTCGCTTTGTTCAGACCCGAGCCTGTCTTATATCCACAATGCCAAAGCACAGAAAGTCCCGCCTTGGATGCAAAGAATGCAAAGAACGAAAGGTCAAATGCGATGAGTCTCGGCCGATTTGTATGAGATGCAAGACCGCGGGAAGAAATTGCTCTTACCGAGAGCTGGTCAGCAGTCTACCAACGCCACCAGCCCAAACACCGGCACATTTGTCCACTCCTCAAGCTCTGAGCCCGCAATCCTCGGTTTCCTCTAGTCGTCATTTACAACTGCCCTCAGCAGTACCAGATCCTCATGGCGCGACTACGTCATTGAATATATCAGAGTTGTCAGATGACTTCTTCTCGGAACGCTTCAGCTTGTTCCACTTCGATCTACTCCTCTTCTTTAGAGGGGCTCTCACAGATGTCCTCGTCTCCCTGCAGTCCGAAATGGGCCCAATGATGCGTCTGATCTATTCTGAAGCGTTGAAGGCGCCATATTTGATGGACCAGGTCCTGGCCTTCACCGCCGCCTACAGGAGCACAGTCGCCAATGACGAAGAAACAACGATGTTGTACCTCACCCAAGCGACCGGCCTCCAAACGAGAGCCATAGGGCATCTGGATATCGGCGGGTTGCAAGTTAACGAAGATAACGTCATGGCGCTCTTCTGTTTCAGCCTCCTACTTGGTCAACAGACCTTGTTCGAAGCCTTCGCCGCAGCAACCTCGATACCTACCGTGCTCGACAAGCTCGTTCAATGTCTGACACTTCATCACGGAATCCGTGGCATTGTCGCGGAATCCATGGGAAAGTTCCATGGCCATATGCAGAACATCCTTCCCCACAACCCGGCATATTCTATGGAGAATGGCACACAAGTCCTTCACGGCAACGAGTGTGATAGCTTGCTCCGGCGGCTGAATGAAAATGAGATGAGCGAACAAACGAGGGGTGTTTACATAGATGTTGTTAAGATTCTGCAGTATCTCTTCGATTCTGTACGTTCGGAGGAAAGTCGCAGGCTCGTCGTCATTCAGGAATGGCCTGTGCGAGTGTCACAAGAGTACATCAGACTCCTTCAACAAAGACGTCCTGAAGCTCTGGTCTTGTTGTCTTATTATGCCGTGCTACTTCATTGGGCGAAAGACTATTGGGCCGTGGGCGGTTCTGGGGAGTTTCTTATCCGGGCAACTTCAGATCATCTTGGGACTTACTGGAAAGAATGGCTGGAATGGCCAAATGAAATGTTGAAAGAAGGCGAAAGAATGGACATAGCATGAAAGTTAGGGAACGACGATGAGCGAAATTGACTAAGATCACGACCAAGTGGTTCAACATTGTAGACTAGGAAGTATGCATGTGTTTTATATAATGTACATAGAAGAAGTGAAAAGTAAGTTTTCGTCGCGCCGCAAGTCTCGTGAAAAGAAATCTTGCGGTGAGCGGAAAAGAAGAACATTCTTGTGAAGTAATAGAACCCTCATCAGTATTGAGACGACACTATTAGAGCCCGTGGAACATTGGTGCAGCCCTCTTGGTGGTGTTGGACTTGATGGGGCTTTCGGAACAAGACCAGCACTCGGCCTTGGAAGCATCCCCGCAGCCATCGTTGAAGATCGACTTCTCGGGGTACGGGCAAAGGATGCGGTTGTGCGTCGCATTGCCGACAGAGATCTGGATAGGCGTCTGGTCAGGCGCGGTGCCGTTCTCAACCCAGTTGCGAAGCTGCTCGAAGAGGCCAGTAGGGGAGCCGCTCACACCGCCGAAGCAGTGGCCCAAGCCGGGAGCCTCGAAGTAGCGATAGAAGTCCTGGATATCAGGGATGATCTCGTTCACTGCCTTGTAGTAGTCTTCGGTACCACCAGGCGGGATGATGTTGTCAGCCTGCAGACAGAATGTTAGCTCGCTAATTGCTTGGTACAGAATCCGAGTGATGCATGCGTACCAAACCGTGGAAAGTCACCATCTTGCCTCCGGCTGCCTTGAACTGTCTCAGATCGGGGTCGGCGGTCTCGACAATCGACTCATATTGCTGGCGACCAGAGTACACCAGCGCATCATACTCCTCGCGGCTCATATTTGTCAAGTCAAAGGTCTCATTCTTGGCGATGAAAAGCTTGAACCAGGCGGTACCGAGGTTAGATGGTTCATCTGTGCAGCCTTTCTCGTTGCAGCTCGTCATCACAATGCCCGGCTGGCTGAAGGACGTCGGCTTGTTGCCCGTAAAGTCGGCTCCAGGCAAGATACCGTGGTACGGCCGCTGGCCATCCGCGGTGACATGGCCGTGCCACGTAGCATTCACTACCGTCGCAGCGGCTTCTGAGATAATCTGCTGAGTTCCATTTTTCTGGGCGCAGGTGATCGATTGGCCGACGAGGGAGAAAGGATCAAAGGACTTGAAACAGGCTGCGATGTCGGAGATGACTCCGTCCGTGACTCCATCTAGAGGATCGCATTCGGAGGTTGCTTTGTTCACGATGGCGTCGAACTCACAAGGGTAAGGGAACGCGCCAAGCTCGTTCATTACTTGGTGGGGCCAGTAGACGAAGCTCACCAGCTTGTTCCAGTTGATTGCCGGGGCGCCTGCTACTATGCCGTCGTAGATGTCGGGGTAGCGTTGGGCAAGCATGAGCCCTTGTCGTCCACCCTGGGAACAGCCGGCCCAGTAGGAGTACTGTGGGTCCTGGCTGTAGTAGCTCTTGATCAAAGACTTGCCGATAATGGCCTGGAGGTTTTGTGATCAGCACTCATAAGCTTTACAGGGCCTCATTTGAGAAGTGCGACTGATAATTACCTCGTCCTTGAGGGAAACGGATGCCAAATTCTGCAAGTTGTACAGGTTGACGTTGCCAGGGCTGTTCAACGCCCACGAACTAGGCTCATTCGCAGATCCGAGGCCAGCATCCGTTGTGATGGTCGCAAAACCGTCCGCAATGGCTCCATTCATTGCGTTGTAGCTCAAGAAGAAGCGGCCGGCGACCCAGCCCCCTCCGCCCACAGCCATGAACCTCTCATTCCAGTTTTCCGGAAGCCATGCCTCGGTGACGAGGTTGTCGTTCTGGCCCGGGTGCGTATACGTGATGGTCACGTTGCAAAAGGTCGCGTTCGTCAGTTGGACGGCCGGGGAGGTGTATCGGAAAGCTGCGGGGACGGAGACGCTGTAGTTGGTGACTAGGTTCGCCTCAAGAGACAAAATCTCAGCTCCGTAGAGGACTGGGCCGAAGGTGCTCGGGACACAGTTTTGAGCAAGGGACAGAGACATCGCGATGGGGATCTGAGCTTGTAAAGCTCGTGGTGACCAGGCGAATCGCGGTTTGAGGTGAGAGGTGATGTGACTGATGAGTGTATCGAACATTATTCTTGTTATGACAATTGGCGACCGAAGATGGTTTTTATAAGTCTTTCATGATAAATGTAGCGAGAAATTTCAAAGCCCAAAGCCTCAATGCCCCTAAGAAGATGATGATCTCCAAAATCGAGGCTCAGCAATTCGCCAAGATCGTAACGTAAGCCTCGGACAACTAGCCTTTAATTCTAGCTCCTTGCTGTCCGATTTGGGACTTTGGATAGACCTCGGGTAGAGCGCGTTGTCATTGGATGCTGACATTCCGCGGACGGCCTGAGTCACACGCCGCACTCCGGACCCGGAAACCGACCGATGCACGCCGGGCTTAAATGGGACTTTGCGCGGATGTCCTCGGATTCAACGTGTGGGTCGCAGTGACTACTCTAAGTAGGTGTGACGGGAGCCCCATATTCGGTCCCGTTCGAACGATTCTAGAAAGCATCTCTAATTTGCATGCATGCACATGCGTAAGACCGGTAACTTGAGTAACGGGCGTCTCCATTCTTAGAAGGAGCACTTCCTTGTCCGACGCGGGCACTCAGGGTAGGAGTGGAAGAGCTTCACCCCGAATAGGGGCTAGGTATTCAAGATAAGTCCAGACAGCGGAGAAGGAAGGGGAGCAGTGCCGAGAGTGCTAACATTGCGGATTGGAAAGGTTTGAGTAAACACCATCAAGTTTCTTTTCAAGAACCGAGGGGTTAAATTGAGCTAAGTAGAACATTTTGGACTCCAAAAGATGCAGATCGTGTCGAGAGCTAGATGATCAAGTCATTCACATCTTCAATTCTACCGAGCAGCAATAATACTCCGCGGCTGCAGTAATATCACCTAGGCCTACACAATACTAAGTAACTATTGTGAGATGTACGTATTCAATCAACCCAAAGCCCTGCTACCCTTGACTTTCGCTACTTGAACAACAACTTTGCCTTTGGCGTGTCCATCCCGCAGTCTTCTATAAGCGGCCGGCACCTGATCGAACTCAAACGTGTAATCAATTACTGCCTTGGCTTCTCCCTGTGCCATCAACTCGCCAATTCGTCGGAAAAAGTGCGCGCTGTTCTGCATCCGCACGAAATAAAATTGGTGCCCCCCCATAATCTTTGGGCAAATCATTTTGCTCAACATCGAGAACGATCCTGAAAGCGTCAGACTTTCTCCGACGCCCACCATGACAAAAGTCCCACCAGGCTTCAAGATGGCGCTGCTGCGGTCATACAGCCCGGTACTGTTGCCCACGTTGTCGATAATGAGATCAAAGACCTTACCCCGATCCCTCAACTTCGACACGATGTCATCCTTCTTATAGTCAATGACTTCATCCGCGCCAAGCTCTCGGCAGAGCTCGATGTTCTTGGTGGAGCACGTCGTGACGACCTCAACGCCTAAGGCTTTCGCTAGTTGGATAGCCCACGTGCCTGTACCGCCGCTCCCTCCGTTGATAAACACCTTGCCGCCAGGTTGCAGGATATCCGGTATCAGAGACTGCCAGGCTGTTGTCGCTGCTGTGCCAACCGCCGCGCCCAGATCAGGGTCAATGCCTTCCGGGAGGGGTGCGCAGTGAGTTCCCAAGATGACAATGTACTCTGCCAACGTGCCTTTCTGCCCAACGCCAGCATATCCACCGAATACAAGTTGTCCGACTTGAAAGCTGGAATTTGTGGTGTGTGTGGCTACAACGCGGCCGCAGAAGTCCATGGCAGGCGTAGCGGGGCGCGCGACCATGAGACGTCCGATTAGAGTTGACTCGGGGACTTTGTAGTCTGCTGGGTTGAGCGATGCGCTGATGACTTCGACAAGGAGCTCATCTTTGCTTAAGGTTGAGGAGCTTGGCTTGGGCACTGATTTGTTGAGAACAAGAGAATCTTCGAGCTTGCCGTCGATGGCAGAATATTGCCAAGCTTTCATAGTGTCACCCATTCTCAGTCGCGTCGGTCTCTGCCGTCGAGTTGAGAAATATTTGGTACTTGGTTGGCTGCTCGAGTAGAGTTTGGATTGATTAATTTGGAAAGCTTAAAAATCGCCGAATATTTATATGTCCATAACCCCGTAGTAAATTTGACCATCGGCCGTTGTCAATTGCTCAACTCCGCGCATTTCTGGGCTCAAATTGGCGTTGCGGAGCGGAGTTTTCGTTCCAGCTACAGACGCTGAATGAGGTAAAAGTGACCCGGCATCTAGCGATTCGTCCGAATTGAGCTTATGTTCCCGATATGTTTCCGAACCTGCTGAGATGATTTGATGTGACGGCGAATCGACAATCATTTTGAACATTTTCTAGAACATTACTAGAATTCAAGAAAGCGTCAATTGCCTATGGAGCAACTGCTTCTCCTTTTGCGTCATGCGCCTCTGGACTTGCGCTGGCGGAGTGACGTGACCATTGTGAAGACAGGAGCCGGTCATTTCAGGTTACTGAGAACCAGACACCATAAGCAACGAGCAATGGCTTGTTCAGAAAAAAAGATCCGAAGACATCCTTCAACCGTTATAGATTAGACCAACTTCAGTGTGTCCGTTCTGAAATGTTTCTTAGTTGAACGTCGCAGTGGTTCCGTCTTTGCCCGACCTGCTTAGCATGCTGACAACGCGGGACTACATAGATGCGGTAGCACGAGTGTAATCTAACACGGTGCCCATCAACTGTAGAGCTGTGGCTTCGTGGAAATATGCCGTATTCCCGAGTTCGTTCCTGAATTTGCGATCCGAATCGCGTGCATGCGGGGAATAATAAGGTTTCTTCTGCATCCTTCACGGTCAAATCCCGGGGGGCTGAGGTCTTCTCCGGTGGATAACCCAACAAATGCGCGACGAGGTGCCCTGAAAAGGAATCATTCTCCCATTTGAGAGGGTCTTCTAGGGGAGTTAAGCCGGTGCCTAGCGATCCTTTGGGGAAACGTGCTTACACCTGGCGACGATCACCCCGTGTTCTCGTAATTTCTGTCGGCACATGGTGAGACCCGGAAGGCTTTAGTGACAACTAGGCCCGGGTAGCGCTGATCCTACTCCGGCTGTTATGATCCGCGATTGCGTATTTATTTCACAGCGGTTCTCACGACAGTCGCCGGTGATTATAACTTCGGTGTCTTTTGTCTATGAAAGAAGTACTTCTCTCCTGCCACGTTCGATACCGCTTCATCCCTCAGGATAGACCTTAGCATGGTTTCCTCACGCTTTCTGACGCTGGCCCTCAGCACGTCGGCATCTGTCGTGGCAGCTTTGACGACACCAGCAAGGAGTGAGACCGCATCTGCTCAATGCACCAAGGCCCTGCCACAGGGGCGCGCACCTGGGAACGAGTACACAATTCCTTACACCGACAAAGACGGCCGATCTCGAGACTATCTCCTATTCTTGCCACCGAAGTACTCTACAAAGTCCAATAACCCGATCATATTCTCCTACCATGGTGGGACTAGAACACCAGAGTCTCAGCGAGATCTTGACCGTCTGGAAACGCCATACTTCAATACGGACCACATCGTCGTTTATCTACGCGGATACCAGGTAAGCAATATTTGTCGGAGAAGCTCACGAAAGAGGCTGATGTGATATTTCAGGAACGATGGGAAGGTACTCCTAATATCACCAAGAGAAACGACATTGAGTACACCAGCAATGTCTTGGACGATCTCGAGAAAACCTATTGCATCGATACAAACCGCGTTTTCATGACTGGCAAATCCAACGGCGGCGGCTTTGTCAACTATGCTGCCTGCCACAAAGAACTCTCAACGCGCTTCGCTGCTTTTGCCCCCGTCTCTGGCTCTTATTACATCGAGGGCGCAGAGGGTTGCAATCCCAAGACCGTCGATATTCCGTGCAACCCCGGAAGGTCCAACATACCTCTCATTGAGTTTCATGGTGGAATCGATGGAACTATTCCCTACGAAGGCAATCCTAGCCGCCGTGGCGCTTGCTTGCCTGATGTCTTTCACTGGGTAACCGAATGGGCTCTTCGTGATGGTCTTGCCGAGAAGGCATGCGAGAAGAATATCACCTCTCGTGCACAGATGTATCGCTGGGGATCAGGTGACAAAAAGGGTCTCGTCACTCACGTCTATGAGCATGATGTTGATCATAGTTGGCCCTACACTGGGGCGAATGCGGACAACAAGGAGCACGGAGATGGTCCGGCATCCTACAATGCATCTTCGTATATCATGGACTTCTTCAGCAAACATACCCTGGCTTGAGACTAACAGTGCCCATACTGCAATCAGCTAGAACTGCACCATAATAATGATAATGCCACATCTCAAATAGTAGCTGCCTCAAAATGTGCAAATCCCATTCAATCAACGCTATTACCCCCCATCGCCACCTCCACCTCCTCCACCACCGCCATCACCGCCGCATCCTCCGTCCCCGCCGCCGCCGCCGCCGCCGCCACCACCATCCCCTCCACCGCAATCACCACTATCGAAAGAGACATAGACTCCGTCAAAGACGAAGTACTCGCCCTTTGTGCGTCTCTTTCTCTTCCTGATCGGATTAGTGCCACCGAGCCCGAACTTTGCCTTAATTTTGGCAGGATGACCAGGTTGAACAGCTGCTGCATCGGGGACGTAGCCGTCTCCTCCCAAGTTATCCATGACAGGATCTTTGGGACAGTCCTTGCTATACTTCTTCGCCCATTCGTTCCTCGTGTCGTGCAAAAATAGTTGTGCTGCAGCGGCCGACGTGACATGCTCATAGTCGATGAGCCTTCTGGCGACGTTAAAGCTCCACACCCAGTAAGATCCTGGGTAAAGCCGATGTGTATGCCAAAGAAGATCTATGGCTAGGGTTGGGGGTACAATGCAGCGGCTTTTCAACAGGTGGGTTCCTGACTTGGACCGAAAGATTGTGTCCATGTCGTATTCCAATGGGCGTGAGGTGAAGGTTCCTTCGGCAGGCCTTCCAAGCAGCTTGATGAACTGTTCGTAATCGCCAATTGAGCGGCCGAGACTCGCGGCAAACGAAACATCGCTCTCTTTTGCTTGAATGACCGTCTTCCAAAATGCGATCTGACTGTTCAAAGTCTTTCGCAGGTCGTCGAGAGTGGGCCAGGGTGCCAATTGACACAATTCTCCGTCCCGACTATGTAGGTTGTTCTTGAAACAGACGTCTTGCCTCTTCCCCATCCTCATATCCGTCCACTCTGACAATTTCCATTCTCTCTTCCCCATAATGGTACAATAGGCTAGCTGATCAACGTCGTGCATCATGATCGCCGGGTCAGCTTTGATATGCATACACGGCTGCTTGTTCGAAAAACGTGACAGCAGCTTCGACTTTCGCTCGGGTTGCCACGGCGGGTACCGCCACAGTTGGAAGGGCAGCTTGTGACTGTCATCTCTCATATTATAGCTCCCCCATTTCCTCTGGGCCTTTTTGTCGGACCATATGCCAGAGTTATAGAGGTCTAGTAGGCGCTTCACTGGGAAGTGATGATGGTTTAAGCCGTAGTCGCGATACCCTCCATCCCAAAGATACCGGTGGAATTTGCCTGGCGATAGGAGATGGCAGTACCAGATGATGGCTACATCCCTACCGAGTAATCTGAGTCAACACATTGAATTTAGTTTGAGAATGGGAACTCACCAAGGGGGTGGATAGTCATGCGGCGCAACACCATAGATGCGCAGGTAGCGGATGTAATTCACATAGCGCCACTCCGAATATGCTAGAGCTTCGTCGTGGATACCGCCAGCATCGTCATGTTTGAAGTGCGGTATGAGTTTCAGGAAAATCTCAATGAGCTGGATATGACTCTACACAGCCATCGAGGTCAGACATGGACCATCCCTTGAAACAATGTGGTCACTTACTGATGCGGCGAGTTGAAGCGAACTGTTGACTCTCTCCTTGGGCCAAGGATCTTCAAATACCGGCGGCATGTTGCAGTTCTGTGTGCTAATATCAAATGGTTCTCCGGGCTTAGCCAGGCGTTGATGACGGGACGTGGACAGTAGTCGAGCATTTATTTCTCAAGAGCTGAAATGCAAGGGTCACGCATGACATCTCAGGAACTGCCTGCCAAGTCGCTTGTGAACCTTGACAGCGGCGCATATTCCGCGCCGCTAAGCCCGGATTCACCTAGTTGCATCACTCAATGCCATGGGGCCGAAGCTGCGGTAAGAGAATCTGGTTTAGCGTCCCGGAAGCCGATGGTATGCACACCGCCCGAGAGAGGAGTTATGGTCATGCGAAGGTTGATTGACATGCCCTGAAAGGGCGCGCAAGGCAGATTCGGTCGCCCTGTGTTACGTTCGTTCCCCGGAGCCGGTTGGTGTCTCGAATGTGTGCAATCGACAACGGCTGCGCCTCAACACCACATGCAACTGCTTTCAGCTCGTCGATCATTCGCAAAGTAGTTGATGGCCATGACTTTAACTCGCGAATAAGATTCTGTGCCTCTTTTGACGATTTCCGAAGAAGCCGAAGTACTAATGGAACTTTACAGCAATACCTTGTCGAAGCACATCGCTCCAAAAGCCACGAATATAGGCTGTTTGAGGACAAATATACACTGGAATGAAAAGTTGGTGCTCTCTAAAGGAGATCTCTTTAATACGCCCCGACTCTCTCCACCCACGACGGTTGAGGTGTCTGCCCAGGTTTTCGGTAGCCTGACTGAATGATGTGGTCCGCTGCCAACTCGAACCCTTCGAGACGTGCACCCGATCCGTCCAAAGCCCAAAGAGTAAGTGCCACCGTGTTGTTGCCGTTATAGTTGAGGATGCCCTCTGGAACAGAGAAGCGCGTTTGCGGACCGAGATGGTTGACTGCATGGGGGTTAGATGTACAGTAATGATATCAAAGGTGGGAGGTTCAAGGTTCTCACTCACCATACTTGCCAAATTGGTACCCGTTGACGAAAAGTTGCGCGCGGAAGAGGCTCGACGCTCCGGTTGAAGCCGTCACATTCGAGATGACAAAACTCAGAGGGATGTCGTAGCCGATTGGCATATCCAAGGGGAACTCCGTCTCATAAAAAGCTACCCCGGCTGTCTTGATGCCTTCAAATGGTGTCACTGAAGCCCAGTCAGACGTGGGTGCCCCTGGAAGATGATAGCCTTGTCGTTCGGCATAGAATGCACCCTCATTCAATGGACCACGCGTCTTGTCAATGTAGCTTTCGGCTCCAAAGTTACCGGTGAGCTTCCATCTCACGTCGGACTGCTGATGACCACCAAGTGAAAAGTCAACGATGCCGCGTGGAAGCTTCATCCAGTCAGACCGTGCCCAGAAGTTCATGCTCATGCCCATATGGTCAATGACGACAGTGAAGACTGAAGGGTCCTCGAGTTTTAGTCCAGCAAGATCAAAAACTTGCGTTGAGTTAGCAGTGTGAGAATCTCCAGCAAAAGACCCGAGGAAGGTCTCGTTAACCCAGACAGAGTGGCTGTAAGCAAAGCCTCCTGCTGTCGTCACGTTGAAGAATGATTCGTTCGCAGTCGCGGTGAAGTGGCCTCGATAGATGAGTGAACCGCCATGGAACCCGTAGTCACTGCAGTAGAGCGATGTTGGGGTCGTTAAATTGCGAGGGTTGTTGCTTTTCTCTAGTGCTGCCTTGGTCCAGGCGGAATCGTCGTAGCTATTAGATATCTCTGGGAGCGAATCGATTGAATGCCATTGCAGTTCGGGGAAGACGGGCAGGTTGAGAGCTGGACTCTCGAAGGCGATCTCAGCTTGGAGCCTGCCATCCTTCCATTGGGCGTTCGGAAGGGAGCGGCCATTGAAGGTAAGCGGGCTGTTCGAAGGGACCCCACCTAGGATCTCAAGAGTCGTAGTAGCATTGATGTCTCCCGTCAAATGGAGAACTCCATCAGCGAAAGTTGCATTCCGCAGAAGATAAGGCCCCTTGACAATGATTGACGACTTCCCTAGAGTAGGCTTGATCAATCCATCATTAGTATCGGGAAGGTCAAGGACCCAATGGCGGTAGGCGTCGTTGCGCCATAGGAGATGAATTTCGAAGGTTTCGAAATGCACAACCTGTCTCCTTTCTTGGACCACCCAGTGAACAGCTCTGAAGCTGCCGTAAGTGCGCGTTGTCGCGTTGCTACCTTCAAAATGCGGTAATCCTAACGAGGATGGCACAGCGAACTCGTGCTCTTCGCCGTCGCCTCCGTACAAGATGAGCAGTGTCTTGTTTCCGTAGGTTTTCCAGGTGAATATCTCCGCTGACGAGTAGATCAAGTTGGTGCCGCCGACATCATGATCCGTGATGTGGATTTTAGAGTCTCGCCCATGTAGCGACAGATCGCCGCCTAGCAAGGGGATGGAGATGTTGCCGACAGATGTCGGCACATTGAGTTTGTAGGAAGTGCGGTTGAGTGAGGTGTAATCGGTATGGCGCACAACGTAGAACCGAGTCTTGTCCCCTACGATTGGAACAACTTGGAGGTCTGGTGTGCTAACAAACTCGGTAGACGTAGCGTTCTGGGGGATGGCTGTGAGATAGGCCTCGGAAGCACGGAGGAAATGGGCTTCGATCTTGGCCTCGCTGTACTTTTCCCGGTCGATCCCACGATTCTCTCTAATGGAAGCACCATGATCGTAGGAAGTGTAGCCCTCTGAGTGACCCATGTTCCCCCAATTTGTCCCGCCATATGTCTATCCGCCACTTTAGTGACCAGCCAATGCAAGACGGGAGAAAAGCATACCATGTAGAGATTGAGTATCTTGATAGAGCGCGACACAAGCTCTTTCACGAAGACACGGGTAAAGTCCTGGTTAATCTTTGCTGCGCACTTATCCAGGCCAACACCTCCCCTTTGATCAATCAGCACCAATATCGACGAGAGGGACTAGAAAATAGCATGGGCCTACCATGGATCGGGGGCACCCCCCTGGTACTCCAATACGGCATAGGGGCTGCTTGGGCTCTGCTGCAGATGGTTTTGATACGTATACGTCAAACTTAAAGCAGTGAGATCCGTCCAGTCCGTGGGGTGATCGCCTAAATACTCAATCAGCAGACATGACTGAAGCGGTCGTTAGAAAACTTACATCCTTTGTAAAAAGGGTAAGCGTCATGCGCGTAGATGTCCAACTCCCCTTTTCCAGATCCAGGCGCCCAGTTGCCCAAAGGCACGGCGTCATTGCCAATCAAAGGAACTTCAATACCATTTCGTCGAAACTGGTCTTCCATAAAAACCATGTAGTTTGGGTCCAATAGCTTGGTTGACTCAACCGGGTTGGCTGTTCCGACCGCTAAACTGTACTCGTTTTCGGGCTGCACAAGGATTATGGGTCCGCCGTTGGTTATCTGAGCAGCTGAGATGACGCGAAGGACGCTTGAAATGTAGTTTTCCGTTGCGTTGGTGTAATCTGGGGCCATTGATCTCAATTCACCCTTATTGCGCTGTAACCAGCCAGGAAAGCCGCCCCCAGAGAGCTCAGAGTTGATATAGGGACCAGGTCGTGCGATGAGATAGAGTCCAGCCTCGACGGCGGCGTCGATGAAAGGTTGAAGATCAAACACATTGTCCATGCGTACCTCGCCTGGTTTGCCCTCGAGCAAGGCCCAGTTGACGTAGAATGACACTGCGTTATAACCTAGCGCTTTGATCTTCTGGAGCACGTCTAACCAGAGTCCTGGTGAAGGAATACGCCATGGGTGAAACTCGCCGGACAAGATGACGATACGCTCCCCTCGGATAAAGAGTGAGTGTTCGTCCCATCTGACTAGATCCTGAGTGATATTGGTGAATTTGATATGGGATCTGCTGAGAACAGCATCGGTGGGGGGTAAAAGGAAGAGGCTAGTAACAGCCAAGAAAGAGGAAAGCTTCATCTCGACTTCTCAATCGGAAACCATTTGGTAATTTCGGATGGAACAACTGGATTTGGTTGAAACTGGAACGCGCCTTATATCTTTATCAACCAGATAGCCTGTTTACTTGTGTTGACAGCCATCAATCTTGACATAAATATGCACTTCAATTGCCAAGCTGCGCCGACCTGTTGAATAGTACATGCATTCTCGCTTTCGCGTTGACAGTCGCAGGGTAAGACAAAGTGCCTTTGCTCTTATGATGTTGATATCAGTGTCCAATGGGCCAAGCTTATTGTGGTCCCCAAGCACGACATCCATTTCGATGCGATCTGCTCTACTCGCATAGGAGCGGATATAGCATAATAGGGTAACAATTTGCCCGACGCAGAGGTGCCTGGGTTTGGGGGATACCTTGGGCAAGGCGCGACCTTGCCAGCAGAACCGTCACGTACTCTACGCCACTTAAGATATCCCTTCGAAGCGCAAGAGAGCGGAAGCGAAGTGCAGGGTATGTAAACGTCGACGTATCATACGCGTATTCGTACGATTGGAGCCGAAGCTACACGTATATTGTGCCCGTCCCAGGATCAGCGTAGTATATAATGGGATTACGAAAACTTGCATAGGCACCAGTGCAAAGGAGGCCACGGTGATCTCAGTGCTTCGATGATGATTATTCATCCCAATCGCAGGGTCGTTTTGAGAACGCGGACTTATGAGAACAGCATGGCGTAAGCTGCCGGGCCGGGCTAATCGCTTGGCTTCCTTTCAATTCCTTGTGACCATCGTAATGTGAGCGGTCCGGCAGTTGTGATCTGCCTCGCCTCTGGCCCGAAGACTATGAGGTCGGCCCGAATCTTTTCGAAATTCCCATTCTCCCGGAAATTCATCAAGAACCGTTACGTCAAAAGTGAGCAGTGAAGTCACCTGCTTCAATCAAGCCTTGACATCGTGGCTGGGTGAAGTGACGTCCCAGTCAAACACGCGTACTGCTGGCAGTCTGGTTGGCCGGGATGTGAAAGCGGGGTAGAATACACGTATGGAAATGGGATACGGCAACTTCCTCGTAACATACTCACGCCTAACTATGTGCCAATCGTGGGCTCTCTGGGCCAGATGCTCCCAGGCTCTTGGGGCTTTGTGAGCGCGGTGGAGTGATTGGTATTTTGTATTTCATTCCTTTCCATCCTTGCCTGTAAGAATATACCCGTTCAACATCAAATATGGAGCAGCCGCACTTTGGCCACGTCTTCTGCATACCTATGTACTTCAATATATGGCGATATATGGAAGGTTTGCAATCTGCAGTGACTACTGCGGTTTGTTCTGAGCCCAGAAGGCGCAACGGCAGAGAAGGATACTCCCGAAAATTGCCTTCAGATTCAGTCAACTACATGGAATAATCGGCTTGACACTAACAAGACAGGGAAATACTGTTCTTGTACTTTTGCACACCTCACTCCGATCAGAATCTCAGATTTAGTCCTCATATCACTGCATTTATTCAATGGCTGAGACTTCTCGGGCTATCTGTCACCTGAGCGATGTCTTCGTGCGCTCCTCCTGCATGTTGATCATTGCCTTGTCCAAGGGCCACGTCCTAAGCTTTCAAAGGGACGATCTCAAAAGGCACGACCGCTACAACACCAATCAGTCCATTGTCGGTCTTGGGGAGAGTTACCATGGATGAAAACTCTCTCCCAGAGCTCCTGATCTCGGGCAAAATACTGCGAAGGTAGTTCCACATCGTACCCGGCACAACGGCGACAACGTGGTTGTTTCCTTTCACCAGGTACGACGTGGCGTCAGCAGTAGGATTGGTTGAGTCCAGCGGAGGCAGTCTGGCGCCATTGACATAGACCGTTATCGCGTTCAACACAGGCGGGAACTTCATGTAGGCACCAAGGGACGTGTTGTGAGCACTGCTAGTAGTCGATTCCGGCGGCCAGGTGAAGTTTGTGGAGTAGTAGCCAACCCCAGACGTGTTCGTTGCATATGGAAGATCCGACCATGAGACAAGCTTGCTGAGTTGGTGAGTCGTGTTGCTCTTGACAGCTGTGATGGTTGCATCGCTGAAATTTTCTGGAGCTTCCCAATGCTCAAGAACCAGAGTCCACGGCCCCAACTCGAAGGAGTCAGGGGCTTGGCTGAAATGAGTGATTTTGTTGCCGGTCGACGATGTGACGAATGCTGGATCTGAAGACGCAACGACGTGTAATCCAATGCCATCACCGACGGGGCCGTAGCCAACGATGTTCGATGAAACTTGAGTAGCATGAATGGCTGGAGTTATAGTGCCACGGATTGCTTTGTCGGCGAACGCAATCACCATTGTCTGATTTCCTGCGAGTTCGAGTGGGATGATTGTCGAAGATCCGTTGGTCCGGTAATTGAGAACCGCTTGGCGGGCTCCCGTCCAGAGATCGAAGAAATAGGGAATACCTTTTGATTGAACCACCACTTCTCCGGTTGCTGCGACCAAGTCACCAAATATGTAGGCGTAGGCGATGCCACTTTCTTTGTCTTCCCTCCATGTGGAATACCACGTGCCGTTGGTTCTCACCCCGACTCGTGGCTTGAGACTCAGTTCGTTCAGCTTCTGGGATATCTCACCCTCTGCAACGTGATGTACGTTCGTGTTATTCAGAAACTCATTGTTTGCAGGAGTATGGCCAGTATTGATTTGCATCCCTGAAGGGTACAGCCCCGGCACTGAGCCGGCCACGATGATAGGCAACCCAACTTTCACGAAGCTCTCCAGCTTCGTAATTGAGAGTTGCGTCAAATTCTGGGATCCGAGGATAACCATGGCTTGATATGCTGCATCTTGGGGCGCAAGCATACCGTGTTCAACATACGCATTGGGCATGTCAAAGTTGTCCGGTGACAAGTAAGTGTAAGACCAACCTAAGCATTGTCAGTGGCCGGTCTATGACCCAATTTGATCCGCAATGTTACGAACCTTCATCAATCAAATCTGTCGGCGCGTACACCGTTCCAAAGTTTGGATCAGTAGCAGATTGTTTGTTATAGAATGCGATATCGGCACGTGGAACACCCTGTTGCTGGGTGTGCTGCAACCTCGACATGTAACTCAAGGCTGCCTGAAGGCCGTGATTCCAGTCTGGTCTTTTGGGCGAATATAGGTCTGAGACGTAGAAGATGAATGCCGTGTACCCCGGCCACGTTGTTTGGGGATAGTTGCCGGTGTATGACTGCCCGTGAATAACGAATTGGTTCACACCACCTGCAACGGCGCGATTCGCGGCAAAGAGCAGCTCTGGAATGGTGTAGCTGTATGCCTTCCCAAAAACCGCGCCAAGTTCGATGGAGACGATCTTTTTCCGCGCGAGATTTGCTGGACCAGAGAATTGCCGATACCCATCGATGTTGTCGTGCCCTTGAAGACTTTCACACTCGGGAGCGTCAACAAACGGGATCGAAGCCTCCATATCCATGGGTAGGTTGTAAGATGGCTGGGATGATAGTCCTTTGACTTCCAGACTCTGAAGCCACTGTGAAAGTGTGGCGAGGTACTCTTGGTATCCTGCTGCCAAAGTCTCACGATAGTCGTTGACATAACCCTTTCCCTGATCCGGTCGGTCCAAAGTGCAGCGCGTAGTTCCTGGGGAGGTGCTTTGGAGATTGATGTTGTTGTTGCTGAACATGATGAGAGGCAGGTATGGTTTCAAGTCGTATGCGAACATTTCTTGGAACCGTGTTGGAAGCGAGCGGGTCCATGAAACATTCGAAGGAATTTCGATGCTATCCTCCCATCCTAGGATCACGCCAAAGTTAGCTGATAAGACTGCCACCACGTTTAGAAGACATCATACCATAATTTCCAACGTCTCTCAAAAGTCCTTTCAGCTCGTCAGTAAGCAGATATTGCTCCCAGAAGGCCTGCACTGTCCGAGCTCCTTGGGCGCTGAAGTGGTCCACGATATACGACCCATTGTCCCAAATTTGTTTCGTCGTATTTGATGGGAAGTGAACGTTTTGGTTAAGAGACAGCTTTTCGTAGAAAAAGAACAGCTCGTGGTCAGATCCACTGGGCAAGGATTTAGCGGGCTTCCAGGATAGTATGCCATCGCCTGAGACACTTGAGGTAATGTCTGTGAGAGATCCATTTTCCAAAACGAGATCCTGGTAAGATACAGTCGTCGAGCCGGTAATCCCAACGATGTTGTAAGAAATGTTCGCTCGAGACACTACGACAGCGGACACGACAGCAACTAGCTCACCATCCCCCCAGCCGGGAATTGTTTCGTTGAGAAAGCTGCGATTGGAGACAGCTTGGCTGAAGGAAACCTGAGGTGTGCAAGGAGTTCAGTAAAATGGACTCAGCTGTCTGCATCGTCGAAAGCTGTGGATGATTTGCAACTACTTACCAAGTCCCACTGCAATCCCTCATCATCAGGGTGAGCCGGAATGCCTTGTCCCTGATTCGGTCCAAGTGAAAAGTCCATGGTCAATCCCGCCTGTTCATGGGCCTTCAAAGCTGATGTGAAGAGATTAAGATGAGCAGGAGTACCAAAGCCGTAAGTAGACCAGTTTACCCCGGTTGGAGCTGGCCCAAGATCTCCTCCATAGTTGTAGAACGGCAAGAACTCTACGCCCCCAGCCCCAATGTCACCCGCTGCCTTTATGTCCGCTTCTACAGTCCCCGCGTCTACACTAGCATCTGGAAGCCAGTATCTGAACTTTGGGCGCTCTTGGGATGGTGGATGGAGGAAGTTATCTGGGGACTGGGTGCAGTCAGAAGCTCGGATGGGTTCGCAATTAGTGAGGAGTAGGGCAAAAAGGCTGACTGCATGGCGGATGGTGGTCATTCTGAGAATAGTTCTAGTAAATATTGAAGTCTTGTTGTCTTGCACAGCCTCTCGACCAGCAGATTATGGAAGAACTTGTCATCGCGATTTAAATAGAACAATGCGCGGGCTAAAACTCAACTATTAACATGACAGAGACACAGCTAGGCGCCAAGTTTGCGAATATTGCGTTCGTAGAATGGTGGACAGAGAAATATTGGTCAGTTTCCTCGGGGTAAACAAAAACGAGATCGGGCCGCTTCGTGTGATCTTGGGTAACAACAAGCAGTATCTAAAGGTAGCTCACCACTGACGACCAAAGAGCACATAACCAAGTTCATGGACTAGTCTTGCGTCTGGTACTTGAAGCTACTAACATGATGAAGTTGGTGCGATGTGGGGTTCACCCCTCTGCGCTTAATCGCACGAACCTCGGCACTTGTAGGTAGTCCTCGTACCAAGAACGAGAACAAAGCAAGCATCTGTATTGTATTGAATCATGTTTGCCAGGGGCAACCTGTCTCAGAACGAATACGCGTATCTGCGGACGTCCCAATTCCAATATGCCCGTTCACATAATCAATAGACTAATGCAGTGCACCTTTGGCTTATGCTGGGGTGCAGGTCGCTTCCATCCATAGCCGTTAGAAATGCGGGGAAAAGAGCGACCAAGCAATTATTCATAGCTTGCTTTCTCGGCGTACTTTGTCCCGATCAGAGCGTTGTATCTCACTTGTCTATCAGCTGAAGTGGTCGAACATAAATATGCGAGCACTCGAGTGATCGAGGCTTACCGCCGTCACTGCTATAGTGTGGGCAAGTTGTCGCTCAACATTGCTGGCTCCTTTGAGGCTTCAAGGTGGTGTTCTTATGCCTGAAGCCTACCGGTGCAAACTGATACATCATGTGTTTCGACTATCTCTTTTCTTCAACTTCTACCTAATAATTATCCTCAATTCATTGTCTTTCGGTCTTCTTTTTCCTCTGCTTCCTCGACTCACTGTCCTCGAGCCCGCCTTTGCCGTCTTGATGATCTCCATCGTCGGAATCGTAGTCATCAAAGTTGGTAAAGCCGTCAGTAAGATAGGAATTTCAAACCGTTCGTGGAAATGATGGACGAAGTCTGGCTGGAGTTCTCTTTCATCTTGCAGGGAACTCGTAGCCCACTTAGCATCGTACTCGTCCAATAAAGTGTTAGACATATTGTTTCCTGGGGCTGAGAAACCGAACCTTTACCTCGGTAGCCATTGTTCACGATGCCTTTTGTTAAGAAGACCGACAACTAAAACTATAAGGCATTTTGTCGCCCCGGGATCTGGCTTGTCTCAGTCCCAGGACAGCGCCAATATCGGAGCCGATTTGATGGATGGAGGAAACGTGTCCACCAACCGTGGTGGAGCTAATTCGTCAAGCGGCATGCTGAACCATTGGGAAGGGAACTCCTCCTTAATGATTTCTCTGCGGAATTAGGTCCCCATGAGTATGGCGGCATCAATCCCGAGGTATCTAAGGCGCCTGAAGCCCTTCATGTCGGCGAGGGTAATCTCTACTGCTCCCATCTGCGTCATGATACGCATCGAAGACTCTTTCAGCGTCTCGCTGATACACTCCATGGTGGGGCTGAAGGCCTGTCCCGTTTCGATATACACACCACACCCGTCTCTTTCCCTCTCTTGTGCGTAGCGTGAAGACATCAGGTTGGGAATACGGGAGAGCAAAGCACGCAATTCCCTTAGCCCAGTTTTGCGGCCCACTAACTCCAGATTTCTTCGACGTCGGCTGTATTCCGAGTACTGTGGCGAATAAGATGTCCTCGTATCAATCTCTTCCAGTTCCGTTTGGATCATTTTCTTGTAGCCCAAGTCAACTTGAGCTTGTCCTAAAGCCTAATTCCGTATCATATCCTCCCAGAAATCGGGGTCCTCGCCAGTCTCCTTCCCTTCAGATGAGAAGACCCGTGCAGAAAGTTTAGAATTGCCTTTACATCCTTACCTTGCGTGAGCGTCTCTTCCATGAATCTTCCCAGTCATCAACTTCAACTCAAGAGCTCAAGTCAACCTTCAGCCTCCTGAATCTGCGTCTTGGACCCTACACAAATTCAATTACAGCGGTGCATCGACTACGATTTATCGAAGGCTGGATTATTAACAGAAAATGCGACGGAATCCAACTCAAGGGTCATGATTTATCGGCAAATTCGATCATCGTGCAAGATCAAAGGCCTTGAAATACTTCGCGATCATAATAATTAATAAGACGGGAAGTGCTGCGGTTAGACCACACATACTGACGACTGGTAAATCGGCGTTTTATAAGTATTGAAGTTTGATTGAGGGCAGACTCGCTAGCTTTCTCCGGCTTTGAGGAGAAGATATTTTCCGCTTTTCCAGGCAGAATCTTTACAGGTGTCTCAATGGCGATGGCGGACTTCGGAATTTTTGATACCTTCTACGCAAGACATTCCTCAGTGGTTTTCTGAGAACCATCTTGATCTTCGATCATAAGTTCAAATCAAGGATATCTCGAAGCGCATTCAATCTATAAGGACCAAGCCAACTCTTGTGTTCATGACTGATAACTTCAAGTTCGTACGAAAGCTGTTGGATTTCATTACATCTTCGCCGAAACTCAATCGGTGCATGAAGGGATATCTTAGTTCAGTTGCATGGGCTGATCCTGTTCGTCAAAGATCAATTTTTGTCGACTAGCTAAGCCAAAGAGACGAGCCATGGATATGATTATTTTCTCAAGATGAATCATGAAGCCCTGTAAGTCCAATTAGGAAAGCAGGTCAACCAGGCTTTCTTTCACTGACAAGCAGCGCAGTAAAAAATCATCCTAGCCCACAGAGCGAGTTTTCTCGCTCTGTTTGAGCTCACGGCGTGAGGACATGACAAATCCTCATCATACCTATATGAACGAGCATAATCGTAACAACGATTATGCCAGGCAACAACACCGTACAGCGAGACTCCTGTCACGCGTCAGGTACTCCGACACTCAGATTGAAATCAACGAGACTTACGAAACATGCTTTGTAGTCCTCTAATAGCGACTTGGGAGGCTTGATAATTTTGAAAGTAGTGCCTCCATTCAAAGACACAGGCGACGGCGAACCCACAAAACAGCTCTTTCCGCACCTCAAGCTGAGAACTGTTATACATGTAATAGTATTGGCGCGTTGTGGTATTTCGCTCAAGGGGCCTCGGCCTTTGCGGCTAGGTAACAGTGCTCTCAGCGTTAGGCCTCAGACATAAGTCACTGAGAGGTGGCATAATTGCACAATGCACGGTTCTACATGATATAGGTACGAGACGGGCCCTAATACAGTATCATGAGGATTGACTCGATAACATACAAAGCATTTCACTTCGCCACAGGCCCTTGAAATATTGAAACTGTTTGTATGAGTTCTTGTTATTTCCTTTAATAGACAACTTGGCTACGAAGAAGACTGCCTCCTGTTTACATCAGTGACGTCGGGTTACTTGGCCCCAGTCTCCGACCGAAGTTATCAGCTAAGAATAGGCAAAAGTTGCCCAAAAATCAATTTAATCTGCGACGCTGCCCGCCCTATTCTCAGCTGTTCGTCTCGCCAAGCAGTGAGAGTCGCCGGGGCTGGATGAAACCTGCGCAAGGACGATTGCAGAGTGCCATCGCTACAACCAAGAATAAGGATTTAGTTACAGTTAAATCACAGGGCGGAATTAACCTTCTGGAAGAAGCTGGTGCAGCGCTCCTGGGCAGCCTCTAAAAAGAAATTCTACCCCGGAGCTGCCCTGACCGAGCATGTTAAAACTGGAGTCATGTAGACTTTTGAGTGGTCGGGTTCCTGGGCCAGATTGCAGATCAATGTCTGGCATCCCTTGCAGGTTTCATTGGTGTGGACACAAAAATCCCACCTTGCCCACACGCGCGGTTTGGCCATTTGATGAAGGCGCGAAAGACAAGCAAGGTGCAGAGCAGGCATTGAAATCTGGACCATTGCACAACCAGTGCTGGCGAGATTCACCTACCTTCTTCAGCAAGAGCAAGTCGTTATCAACAAACGGGTTGCCGCATTCGTTCAGCGGAGGGAGCGGGTGCGTTCCGGTCGGTGAGGAGTCGGCGAGTTGGTGGGAATCTGGGTCTTTTGCGACGGACATACCCTACTATCGCAGCCAAAGAGGCCTTTGGTCCACTATCAGGCCCGGCTCATGTCCGACAAGAATGTGTTCATCCACAAATTTGGCCACTACCACGATGAGCGGGACGGGGCTCTTCGGACGATCGGTTGTTGTCCGAGATCTTTCGGCTCGCAAGATGTTATCAACACCTTTGGATTCGGACTTGGGAATGATTTCAGGTCGTGCGCCGAAGTCGGACTTTGAAATCCAGCATTTCAGGTGCTTAAAGCATTGGACGCTGTCCAGGCTCCCCATGCAGTCCCGGTATTTGATGCGGGCACTTAACAAGCTCCCGAGCGGGAGACATAATCCGAATGATCAAGTAAAGCTCCCGTGATGGTTCCTGCATTCGCGAGGCTTCCGAACGTCTTGATTAGGAGAATCTGTTGGTCCCGACGCTCTCCCACCTTCCAGAAACCTGCTTGAATGGCCCAGTGAGGTTGCGGCGCATGACGCATGCAACATGGGTTTGAGCAATATATCGTGAATGTTCCGAAAAATCTGCGTCACAAATTGAGTTTTTGAGAAATCTTGGTCATTCTTCTCAAACTGATAGAAGTGATGGTTCAACAACGGTATGCAGAGCTGAGTTCCAGACGCTGTCCGAAATCACGTTGGAGTCTGAAAAAAGGAAATTGAAGAATAAGTCATAAGATAACATGGAGAAGGTCGGTCCGTGGACTGCTCGGGGTAGCAGAAGAGGACAAAGTGATCCTCGAAACCCGGGTTCCTACCGCGCGTATCCGCAAAATTTTTCAGACGAACCAGCGGCCCGGTACCCACAAGTCAGTCAAGAACGGGGCCAGACTCCATCATCTTCAGGTTTCCATCGAGAGGGTTAGCATCACAGGACCTGTCTCCTTGAGTATTTACCCCCACGGACAACAGCTCAGTTATCGACGGACGGGGGAGCAGCATGGGGCTATAGGCCATTGTCTGTGCTCGTTATCGGTTACCAAGACCGAGAATGCACTGTCATCGGCTGCCTCACCGTTACAATTGACGGCTCTCGCGGAGTCCAAGAGTCCTTGGCGAAGCGCGGCGATCTTTTCTACGTGGCGTACGAATACAGTCGTGATGGGAAACTGACTTTTTTTGCAACGCCTTACAAGTTACGGCTCCGCCACGGCCTGCGTCGTGCTCGGTTGCCACCACCGGCAGCAAACTGTTCCCGGAAGGTCGAGGGGCTCCCACACGGATCCGACATTTGGTGAGTGCGGTCGGTCATAAGTCCGATAGACGGATGTTGCTACTCGGCATTGTCAACGCCTAAACAGGACCCTGGTCGAGGATTCGGAAATTTTCGCGATGGAAACTGCGAGGGCTGTTTTCTAGTGGAATCCAGTTGAGCAAGTTGAGGGTCAAAATTTCTTTTCAACTCTTTCTCAACTTGGGGCGAGACCCAGTCCAAGAAAGAGAGAGAAGAAAAAGAGAATGAACCGGAGGGGGCTATAGAATAAAATCTCGCTTCCAGGATACGTCATGTGCAAATGTGGTAGGTAGCATTGGAATGTGACGGGAGATGCGACCTCCCTTTTTCTCTTTGGCGGGAGGCTTACCCCTGTTTCTGAAGAAGAAAGCGAGGAAATGTTTTCCAGACACCGGACGATTCAAGCATAATGCACTCTCAACCGCAAACAACAAACAAACAATTAAGGGAGATCAGAGGGAGAAGTAATGCCCGTCCTCTGTAGAGCTCAGTGCACTAAGAACCTAGGACTAACCTTCAGGAATCTCTAAAGACACGTGGGCGGCTTGACATCGGATGGAAATGAGGTAAGCTAGGAATCATCATGTTCAGAAGTTTTTTCAACTTCCTAATCCTCACGATGCCTGAAGATCGGAAGTCGACCGAAATTCTGTAAGCGTGAAAGCCCTCAAATGTCTCTCAATCGGGGACAGGAGTCTGTCCGTGACGTGGGATCCCCCCAGGACCGGGCCAACAATTGCAATCCAGACCTCTGGGACCTTCGCTTCCCGAGAGCGTTGTAGTCCCCATTCACGCTGTCACCACCCGCGCGCTTGTCCAAGCCCCATCCCGCTGGCTGGGCTGGTGTCATGTGCTGGCTAGGAGCATTGCCCACCCCCCGTGCGACGACTTGGCTCATTAACTTGGCTCCGTTATTATTCAGCCATGGTAGCGCCTTATTAAGCTACCAAATATCCTCCCAGGGCGAGTCAGTTACCCGCTCTATCCTTGCCGGCCAACTGTCAGTGGATGACCTTTTTCTAGACCCTGTCGTCGAGGGTAACCGAGGGGGAGCACAGACAGGAAGGCAGAAGAAGAGAAGGAAAAAAACGTGAAACTAGCTCCATCCCATCAGTCTTCCATCAACTTGATACGTCAGTTCTTGGGTCGTTAACGGCACTCGCTGGTCCACCCTACAAGATCTGATAACGGGCTTCTCCCCGGATCAGGGAGGCATTGCAGCACCATTAAGCTTGGCAGCGGGTCGACATCGTCTATCTGAGTTTGAACCATCGCTGCTATCCCACAGTCATTCTCTCATGACAGGTGCAAGTCAAGCTTCCGGATTTGGGGCCTGGGTTCTCCCCTACGTAGTAGTAGACCCGCCTATTCAAGTTTCCTGGGACTACAGAGTGCCACCCGACTTGTCCGAAAGAATCAAGACAGCCCGTTCGCCAAGACCGACCTTCCCTGGATGCAGCCCATTCCCCAGCGTCGGGGGCATCATGCGCAGAGACTCAGAGAGAAGCTCCCACTGGCATCTCAACATTGGAAAACGGGGCCGCTGTCCCCGTTCCTGCGGACTTCTCCTGGTGCTCAACGACACCCATGGCGCACGTCATGGAGTCCGTTGGGATAATACCTCTAAACATGTAGACTTTGGGTAGCAACCGCTTGGCCCGCTCGTCGAACCGAATCCGGATATGAGCAAGGAGGCTCGGAGCGATGCCAAGAACATTGCAGTATAGGGGAGGGGGGAGCTTAGAGAGAAAAAGGTGACGTCTGGCTGAATTGTCGTGGCCATGATAAATAAGACTCTTAGGACCGTCCCCTTTGCTGAAGATCTGGCTCTGAGATTCATCACACACGTGCTCGCCGTCATCACTCACTTACATTCGCTCATTATCTGACAACATGCGTGCTGCTCTCATCTCCGCCCTCGCGGCCGGCGCTGCCGCCACCCGCCCGTTCCTGAACGAGCCGGATACCGGTATCGAGCTTGCCCTCGGTGACCTCGCTGTTGGCGCCCTGCCCAACCTCACCCAGATGGTTGGCCTTCCCGACTTCGAGTACGCCGCCCGCAACTACCTCCCCATCAAGAACTACACGTACTACCGCAACGGTGCCGCCGGTGAATGGTCTTACCGCAACAACCTCGAGGTCTTCGGCCGTTACCGCCTCCGCCCTCGCACCATGGTTGACATTACCAACATTGAGTCTACCCTCAAGTAAGTCCAAGCTTCCAAGCTTCCTATTCTGATGAACTCCCTTGGATGGGTTCATGGATTTTCCGCAAATCGCTGACTCGCGCAGCACTACCATCCTGGGACACAACTTCTCTGCTCCGATCTTCATCAGCCCTGCTGCCCGTGCTGACTACGCTCACGCTGATGCTGAGCTCAACCTGATGAGGGCCGCTGCTGCGGAGAACATCCTCTACATGCCCGCTCTCTACGCCGCCAAGACCATTGAGCAGATCGCCGAGGTCAAGGCCGAGGGCCAGGTCGCCTTCCAGCAGGTGTACCTCACCACCAACGACACCGCGACCCAGGTCCTCTTTGACCGCATCAAGGCCTCCGGCGCCAACGGCATTGTCTACACCGTCGACTCCGCCGCCGATGGCAACCGCCACCGCGCTGCTCGCTTCGCCGTCGGCTCCGCCGACTCCGACTACTCCCTCATCACCTGGGATGAGTACCGCAAGCTGTCCAACATGACCGACCTCCCCATCATCATCAAGGGCATCATGACCGTTGAGGACGCAGAGGCTGCCATCGAGAACAAGGTTCCCGCCATTATCCTTTCTAACCACGGCGGTCGCCAGCTTGACGGCTCCCCCTCCTCCCTCGAGGTCGCTCTTGAGATCTACGAGAAGGACCCCGAGATCTTCCAGAAGATCGAGGTCTACGCCGACGGTGGTGTCCGCTACGGCGCTGATGTCCTCAAGCTTCTTTCCCTTGGTGTCAAGGCTGTCGGTCTCGGCCGCCCCATCATGTTCTCCAACATCTTCGGTCAGGAGGGTGTTGAGAAGGCCATTCAAATTCTCAAGCACGAGATTGCCATTGATGCCGGTAACCTCGGTGTCCCTGATCTGAAGAAGATTGACGCCAGCTACGTAAGTCGAACACAACCTATATGTTCCAATGTACAACACCCGCTAACAACCTCAACAGGTCAAGTGGACCCCCAACAACTGGTACTCTTGAGCGTTTCGCTGAGTACTAGATGAGAAGTCGGGATATAGAGGGGATCTCTTCGCTTGATTCGCATGACGTAGATGATACCACATGAGTGCTGTACATACTCTTTCTTTTCTAGCTGCACATAGCTTTTACCTGCGAATTGATACCCCTCAATCAAAAGTTCTTTGAAATTTTCAACGAAAGCCCCATTATCAATGGCATGTGTTTGATCATGCAAGTCGGACATGAGTAATTCAATCCCATTGTTCTTTTACATGGACAAAGCGCAAAACCGTAAAGTGCAAGAACAAACAATGCGATAATATCTCAGCTCAAAAGCTAGCAGAATAGTCTCCAAGGTTAGTTGGTGTGTATATAATCTCAATATTGATATATGAATGATGCTAATGAGACTTTTTCTGTAAATAAGCCAGCAAATCTTTCACGCCTCTCCCATCACGACATCATCTTCCACACACAATAAACTTACGAGTAAGTCCTCCGCTCCCCTGTTTTCACCCTGGCGATTAGTCACCTTGAAGAATACACCATGTGTATCACCACCTTCTTTGTCCGTGTTTGTGCCAAGTGCGACAAGGAGATCAGCCGTCTAAAGCAGGAGAACGTCAGTTGCAAAAGTGCCTCTCGGGCTGATCCGAAGTGTTACGGAAAGACTGAGGACTATCGATTCTTCAAGAAGCTCTGCTCTTACTGTCATCCATCATGCAGCTGCTTCTCAAATGATGCGCTGAACAAGATTCTTGGCTCCGACTGGGACTTTTCGTCTGCCGACAAGCTGCAGGATAACCACGTTCATACTGCACCTACAATTGGAGACGAGATTGAGCGTTTGTGTCATTGTGTCAAGAAGATGCGGCTGGACGCCGATGGTCGAACCAAGTAGGTGTCTAGACCCGACTGGTGGAGATGTTTCAACTCGCAATTTGGCAGCGCCTTTGAATTGAGCACACGGATTGACCCGTGACGAGTCCCAGATAGACTGAAGTTATGAATTGACTTGTGATTGGACGAGATTGAATATTTGGACTTGTGAGTGCTGTCGTGATCTGCTATGGTATATTCAGTGATTACCTTGGCTTCCGACGGTTAAGGAACACATTGAATTACTAGCACGTGATTAGATGTAAAGTGTGTGAATTACAGTTTTTTGGACTTCGCTATAAGTCCGGACTGATGGAAGATCATGCTTTCACTACCTAAGGTGGAGTTCCCATCACACCCATTGATCCACACCAACGAGATTCATGGTGGCATATTACCCAGGATGCTTCTTCTAACCAAAAGTGGAGCGTTGTGTATCTAACATCTTTCTAGCCCATCGATCAGCGAGAATAGTCGTCAATGCCATATGAACTACGATTTTCAAGCTAACTATACCGTTTCTACTTGGGAATGAAGTGAAATACGGGCACCAGGGCTCATAGAGCCGCAATATTCAAGTCTTATGCTTTAGTCCGTTTCGAGACTGACCTTGAACTGCCGCGGTAGGCTCTGATAAGCGATGCGCAGCATATGGGCCCACCCATAACTGCTTATATCACGAGTTATGGCACGTAGTAATGGGCATACGGAGTATAGTAAAAGTGGCTTAATATATTAAAGTAGAAATAAATAAAAGGAAAAGGTCTATATATATAATATCTAAGATAGATACGTGATTTAATACGTAATAAATACTTTATAAAATACGATTACTATCCTTATTATATAATATACCTTTTAATTATTATTATTAAGGAGTTATTATACCCGAAATAGAACTTTTAAATACCCTTATAAAAGCCCGATTTAGTTAAATATAAATAAAAAAAAAATAAGTATAAAGGATATATATTTTTTAAACTATATTTATTATAAATATATTTTTTTATTTAAAATAAATAGAATTTTAACTTAAAATAGTACGTACTTTACTATTTTTAGTATATAAATTACTAAAAATAAAGCTACTTAGCTATTTTATATATATTTAAATTCTTATAGCGTTACTTAGCTATTATTTTTTTTCTTTTTTTTAACTTTTTTATAATTACTATAAATACCCCTATTTATTACGCGCGTATATTTATACTATTAAATCGTTTATTAATTTTATTTTAAATATAAATATTTAATATATTTAAAAATAATAATAAGTTTTATATAATTTTTACGATACTTCTTATATACGTATTATATAATTTATTAAGAGTTTAAATAAGTAATAATATTAATAAGCCCTTTTAAGTTATTACCCCCCCCGTAATTTCTTATTTACTTATTAAAACCCGGTTACTAAGCTTTTCCTCCCTAATTAAGAGAATATTAAAGTTATTAATAAAAATACTAAGAATTTTATTAAGTTCGAGGCTCTTATTAATAATTATAATAAAAATAATAATAAAATAAATAGTAATAATAAGAGTTTTAAAGAGCTTTTATTTATCCCCCCCTCGGAATTTAAGGGTAAAAATAAGAATATTTTAAATATTAAACCTTTTAAAAAGGGTATATTATATATTATTATTTTAAGAATTCGTTTCTAATAATATTTTAAAATTTAAAAAACATAAAGCTAGCTCTTTTTAAAAAAGTAATAAAAAATAAAAACAAATATTAAAAAGCTAAAATACCCCCCGTAATAAGTATAGTTCTTTTTATTATTTTAAACCTAATTAATATATACTTAGTCCTTAAAAAGCTTAAGAGAGCGGCTCTTAAAGAATAATTAATATAATATATACCCTATTTTTAAATAGCCCTCTAATTTATTAACCCTAAGGATAATAAACGTTATTTTATAAAAAGTAGTAACTAATATATATACTATTTTAATAACTATTTAGCTAAGGAGTATATTAATATATTAGTTATTATATAGTTAATAACCTAGGCTTTTATTAAAGTTATTATAAATAGTACTCCTTTTATTATAAGTATATTATCTTTTTTTATTATTAAAAAGCGTACTCTTAATTATAATTTTAATAAAAAATTAATAAGCTCCGCGCTATTATTTACTATATAAAAAATAATAAAAAAATATATAAAAACTATATTAAGTTCTATATAGAGGACTTTTTCTTTATATACCCCCCGCCCCCTCTTTTAAATACGTTTATATTATTAATTATACTTATTATAGTTATTTATAACTAACTTTTTATTACGCTACCTACTTCTATACCCTAAGTTATTAACTTAATAATTATTTTATTTTTTATACTCCCCGCTATCCCTACTACTTTTAGTTTTATAAATTTTAAAATATATAAAATATAGTTCTTAGCGCGCATACTTACCCTCTTTATTAATAATATTATAATTTTAATAATTACGTATTTTATAAACTAAGAGTTTAAATAATAAATATAAGCCTAGGTCTTATTTTTATATATATATACCCTATAAAGTAAGGTTATTTTAGGAATTTAGGCCTTTAAGCTAAGAAAAGTTTTATTTTATTTATTTTAAACCTCTAGGCCGTACTCTAAGTTCTATTTATTATCTATTTTTAAATATTAAGTTTTTCTAAATATAGCCTAAATTAATTATTTTTAATTATTTTAACTATTTATAATAACTTTTTACGTATTATAGAGGTTAAGAAGTATAAAAAAATATTTAAACTTAGTTTATAAAAGGTTTTTAATAAGTCTATTTATTAATATATTTTTTATTAATATATAAATAACCTCGAAACTATTTTTAATATATTCTTATCTTAGCTATATATTTTATATATTAATATAGCGAAGTTAAGTAGCTATTCTTTCCCCTTTTCTTATAATAAGTCGAATCGTTTACTAATTATTATAATTAACTAACTATACTTTTCTTAAATTAAGGGTAATATTTTTTAAAAAGTACTTTAGAGCTATAGTCTTTTTTATAGTTTCCTTAAAATAAAAAAGCTTAGTTTTAATAGTTAATATTATAATTATTACTTAGTATACTAATTTTTATTAAATTAGGCTATTAAAAAGGAATATTATATATCCCTAAAATAATCGTTATATTACTTTATTATTTATAAAGCTAGTATTTTTAGTTAAAAATAATAATTAAGTACTTAGTATATTATTATAATAAAGTATAAAATATCTTATTATATAAAAATATTAAATCCCCCCGACGGAGTAATCTGCTAGGGCCGTACCGTATATTACGTATTAAGGAAAACTAGGTATATTACGCTCTATACCTAACTACTAATTAAAATAGCTCCTAACTTTTTGCCATAGTCCTCCTAAGTTCTAACTACTTATAGGGTAAGCTTTACTTACTCTAATGCGCATAGGACCTCTTAGTACTAGCCCGCGTAAGTAGCTAAGTCTAGTATAATCTATTTTTTTATATAAGTATTATTATTACCTAGGGGGTCCTATAAGAGCTATTTAAAGCGCTAGCCTATTACCTTAACCCTATATACCTCTAGCCCGTTTATTATAGCTATTATAGCTAGGCTAGCGTTAATATACCGGATCCTAATATCCGTACCGGCCTAGCTATTTATAGCACCTATAATATTACCTAGCTAAATTCCGTACCCCTAAAAAGTACTTTACTACTTCTTAAGTATACTTACGTTAGTTATAATAGCTATAGCGTTAAGCTAGCTAAGGGCACCTAGCCCGAGAGGGGTAAACTTATTAACGGGTATCTTTAGTTCTAGCCTACTAATTACTAACTATATACTAAAAAAGTAGGTTTTTATCGAAGTAGTATTTTAACTAACTAACCTCTTAACTAGTTATCTAACTAGCTATTTAAGTAGTAGTTTATATATTAATAGGTTTATTTAATAAATTTATTTAGTAAATTTATTTAATAGATTTATTTAGTGGATTTGTTTAGTAGATTTGTTTAGTTTAAATAGAGAGTAGCTTTGGGCGATATTAGAAGCGATAAGGATAAAAAAAATCTTTACGAGCTCTATAAATATTAGCCTATTTAGCCCTTTTTCTAAAAACCTCTATATCGCCATTAAAGTTTAGAACCTCTATAGTTAAAAAAGACCGCCTCTAACTATTGTGGCCAACTATTGCGGCTAACTATTATAGCTAACTATTACGGCCGACCTCTACCGTTAACCTTTCTAGCTAGCGCTACTACTTTGCTTATCCCAAATTAAATAACGGTTTTTATATTAAAATTATTATATTACGTTAAGCGCGTACTTAGAATATATTATATATATTATATAGTTAAAAAGTATACTATATTATATAATTTCCTTTAAAAGCGTAATCCTATTAAGGTCGATCTTTTGTACTTATAAAGCCGGAAAAAAAACCACTATATAAAAATATTAAATATAGTAATTAATTATTTTAATATAAGTTACGCTTAGGTTAGTTAAGAATTATAATAATTATAAATAAGTAAAAGCGATATTTAGTTTAATTATTATAGCTATATAAAATATACTTCTAACCTTTTCTTAGTAGCTCTTTATTTCTTTTTTTATTACTTACTCTTTATTTAGTTTAAACTCGTCCTAAGGAAAAGGGGTAGCTAAATATAGTAAATTTATAAAATTAAAGTACTTAGTAACTTACTTAATATATACGTTATAAATAAAATAAACTTTATAAATAATATGGTTTTATAAAATCCATACTCTAAAAAAGTAATTAATTAGTCTATTTTTTTTAAAGTTAATATATTTTTTTATATTATTAATAATCCCCTAAGCCGCTTTTTAATTATTTTAATAATATAAAATAATAAAGTCGTTAATATAAAATATTAATATTACTTTCTTATTTACGGTTTAGTAAATATAGATCTCTTTATAACTATATATTATATTTATATTATAAAATATAAAAATAAAAGTTTAAAACTAGAGAATTAATAAGTCTTAGAGGCTATATAGAGCGCGTTAGAGTTTACTTATTT